TGGGGCAGAGCTAGTAGATGGCTCTGGATTCCCAAAAGGCTGCCTCCTGTAGAAATAGGGGCCCTTCCTGTCAGACTTCTTAAAGACAGAAGGCATCACCTTTTTCTTGTCCTTGTTTTCTACTAGGACAGGGTCAAGGACCTCCCTGAAGAACTTGTCCCCTTTAAAGGCGGCAGCGACCAGTTTCCACTTGGAGTGCATGTCCACGTTCCAGTGTCGAAGCCACAAGAGGCGCCTGGTAACATTAGATGCCAGAGCCCACAAAGCGAACTTGGCCGCACTCAGGATGGCATCGGCAGTATACTCCGTGGCCACCATGATCTTATTAATATCCTGCCTTAACTTGCTATCCCTGGCCGGAATCCTAGTTAACAATTGCCTTAACCAGAGAAGAGCAGCCCTGGAGAGAAATGAAGCTGAAGCTGAGGTCTTAATTGCCCAAGCGGCCGCCTGGTGCATTTTATGACAGGTGGTCTCAGACTTCTTGTCCTTCGCCTTGAGGCCTTCCAATAAATCAGGTGGGATGTTGAGGTAAGGGCCGCCACAGGAGGATCGATGTGGGGGAGCTTAAGTAAGTCCTCCAGACTGGTGTCTACCGTACAAGTTCTTATCATTGCTACTGGGGGTAGCCATGGTGGCAGGCTGCGCCCATTGCTTCTGAACCATATTAAGAAACATCTTGGGGATGGGTACAATTTCCTGGGCCGAGACAGGCTCCTCAAAGAGATCCCCAGAAAGGTCATCTGGCACAATGGGCACCTGAACTGGGGGCTTGGACCCCATATGGGTTGCTATCTTAGCCTTATCCAAAATGGTTTTGAAATTGGCTAGCTTAAATAGGACAGAAAAAGAAGGCTTTTCGGAGGTACTACCTTCGTCCCCCGAGAACTCGGATCCTGTGGAGCCAAGGGCCCCAAAACTGGCCCCTCCTCTGAGTCTGAAGGGCAAGCAAACAGGTTGGCCTGGTCCACCAAGGACACACCCGGGGAAACTCCCATGGCCAAGGAGGCCGTGGGAGAAAATTCCTGGCCTTCCTCATCACTGTCTGAATTAGGATGGATTTGAGCAGGGGGAACTCCCAAGGAGGGCTTCTCAGGAGACACCAGTTGAGAGGATTGGGTCTGCTGTTGGGCTTTGGAAAATTGTTTTTCAAGAGCCTTCTGGCGGCGGAAGGCATCCTTGTCAGGCCCTGGACCCTGCTTAGGCCTAGGCCTGGAATAGGGTTTGGAGCCCCTAATGGCCTCCCTGGCAGCCACGCCTGCCCGCCTAGAAAAAGCCTTGGAAGAGACCCCTGACTGGAAAGGCTCCTCTTGAATCTGATCTGCCATGACCCTGAATTCAATCCAATAGATAAGGGGCACTCCCACTCACCACCTCTCAACAGCCCACCATCAACCAGAGTGCTCACTGGAGAGACACAGAAGGCGAAGGATGAAAGGCAATTTGAGAGTTAAGCACGAGCAATCACAGCTCCAGATGCCCGCAGGAATAACAATTGTGACCCAGGGAGGCTTCAAAGCTCTGCCACTGCTAATGAGGTGCTTTGGAGATAAATTGCCAGCCAGGTTGGACAACAATAGTTCCAAGCGGCTCCTGCAATGAGTCAGGCTTCAGGCAGCTGCAGCATGTGCGAGGAGTCGAAAGCAAAACCGGCAGAACAGGAGAAAATGGCAGGCGGATCCTTTGCCCGCCGCGCCTGCGCTTTAACTAGCCGGTTGAATCAATTAATGCTCAGAGAAACCGTGCCGAACGCCGGCATCAACAAGCACGGATGACGGCCCACGGAGCTCTCCGCGGGGAATCCGGCTGCAGCAGGGTTGCTGCAGCAATGCTGGCGTTAGCACTCCGACCCACGCGTCCCCCCCAACAGCTGCCTGTGTCCCCGCAGTGCCTAAGGTATCCAGGACACCGAGAGGACCGAAAGGGAGAGAATGGCCAAATTCAAACAATTTGGAAACCTTTATTTTTATTGCTCTCCAAGCCTGCTCCAATATAATTAAATATAAACTACTTACAGACAAAGAGAGTCCAAGCAAGAGATAGAATTGAAGAGAAACTTTAGTCCACTGGGCTAGCTGAATTGAAAAAACCTGAGCATAATCAGCACCAGAGGCGTGGCTTAAAGTTTCAATTCAATTCTGGGCAGTATGGCTATATTTAATCCTTGCGTGGACTCTCCTGAGCAGTGCCATGGAAAATGTTATGATACATCATGTGACGCAATCAAGATTGATGCTTGTGCCCAGAGAAGAGCAACAAAGATGATAAAGGGTTTGGAGGCTAAACAATATGATGAACAATTGAGAGAATTGGGTATATAGTAGTCTAATGAAGAGAAGGATTAGAGATAACATGATAATGGTCTTCCAGTATTTGAAGTGGTGTCACAAAGAGGTCAGCCTATTCTCCAAAGCATTTGAAGGAAGGATAAATAACAGGTGGAAGATTAAAGAGAGATCCAACCTACAATTAAGAATTTTTCTGACAATGGGAACACCTAATCAATGGAATAGCTTACCTCTGGAAGTTGTGGATGCTCCATCACTGGAGGTTTTCAAGAGACTGGATAGCCATTTGTGTGGAATGGTATAGGGTTGACTGCCTGTGCAGGAAATTGGACTAGAAGGATTGTAAGGTCCCTTCCATCCCCATTATTCTATATTTTAAATTCTAATTAGACCTGAATAAGTTCTACATCAAGATATATCAAGCTTAAATATGTTTTAAAAAATCATGATAACTATGCCCAAATGCAAAACCATAATGAAGCATTTCAAGACATTATGTTTTACAGATCAGAGTAAACACAACAAAAACAGGAAATAAAAACAAAAACAATGCCTTTCAGAACATACTATTCTGAAAATATGGGTAATCCTCCCTGAACAACTAACCATTCAAAGTTATGACAGCACTGAAAAAGTATAATTGTTTCTCACACAACCATATTTTTTGACTGTTGCAGCATCCTAATTTGATTGCCATCTACATGCTTCAAAGCCAGCTTCCAACAAGTAGTCAATGGAGAAGCCGGCAGTAAAATTGCATGTTATGGTTACAATACCTCATTTAATGACAATAGCAGATTATAAGTCTATTGGGTCACATGATGTCTTATCATGTCACTTGGTACTAGATTTGCCAAACTCAATTGTAGTTATTAAATGAGGACTATCTGCAACAAGAGAGTTGATTTCATGCTAATAGCACAGTAGTATGTTTGAGCCTAAACAGAGTCTACTAATCTGATAATGTAATGTCTAAAATGCTCTCTCCAGTTTCATTCTCTCCTTGAGGTTCCTGCTTAGGCAGTCATGTTTATAAGAGGCATACTATTTTATTGTCAAATACTAAAGTGTTATAAGAAAATATTTACAGATTTTAATTGTTTTAGATGGACTACTGTATCTCTAACATGTAATTTTACACTGGAGTGTGCAAAGAAATCGCAACATTGACAAATATTTAGAATATTCCTAAAGAAATGCATTTATACGCGCACATTTATATACCCAGTTTAAAATAATCAGTTTTTTCTTTGGTTGAACTGACAAATCAATAAATACAAGTTACAGTTACAGTTAGCAATCAGTTAAAAATAAGTTTTTAGACTTTTAATACATCTGCATAAATATGAATTAAAATGTGATCTATTTTCCATACAAGTCCACACAACCAAAGAGAACCCAATTAAACATTAAAACATTATACATATTTGTTTATTGAGGAAAATTATCCAAAGTTACCTATTTGTGATGCTAAATGTATGTGAATCTCTAGAATTATCAATTAAAGAGAAAATTAGAGTCAAAGTTTGAATCAAGAAAATAATCAAATCCTGTGGGGCACTAGTTACTGAAAGCAATGGTTCACATACTTTTGCCAAATATAAATATCTAGCTATAGATGGATTTCCTTAATAAAAAAGATTTTCACTCATTTGTTTAACTGGGTTCTCTTTATCAAATTTTAAGGGCTTGTGTGATGAATTTAGGTCATATTTATGCAGGAATATTGGAAATGTAAAAGAGTTCACAATTTTGAATTATATTTTTTTCAGCATGAAGAGATGTTTTCTCTCATCTTTTACTTTTTCATACAATTATTTCTTTGCTTAATCTACCATTTTTTGATTCTATTAAACAAGAAATAGAACATTTCTTTCTCATGTCAATTATAGCATTTGGACTTTAAGTGGCATGTTGAGATCACATTTCTACTCTGGCAACATCCAAGACAAAAAAATATTTAACTGAGAAATCTCCACGTATTTAATAATCTTTCCATGCTACTCAATTAAAATTATATCTTGTTACATATTTTAAATGATATGTAGGGGATCTCAGGTTTTCAAGGGCCACATACAGCTCTTAGGATATAGTTGTACACACGCTCTAAACAACAGATGTTACAAATTGACAAGGGGGAGCTTTTAACCTTTATATCACATCTGTTCCCTAGAAAAACAGAATATTAAGACTATCCTTTCATTCTTAAAATTTCAATAGCAATTCATAATTCTCTGTAGCTCAGTGGGCAGAAAGAGAGGGGAAAAGAGGAAGGAAAGATTAATCAACCCTATTAATAGAGGGAGTTTCCATTTCTCATATATTATTCATATACAGTACATACACAAACCTAGTTCTCCACCTATATCTCAACATAGTTCTGCTGTTATTCAACTTAATATTGCATGCAGAGGCATGTTTACTGTGATTTTCTAATAACCTCAATAGACAATATTAAATTGATGAACTCAATTGTATATAAATTAATTTTAATAATTTTCATTTAACACATTTTTGGATGAAAATGAGTAATATACCGCTTATTTCAATTTAAGCAAGACTGATTTGTCAAACATACTGAACAGGTATTAAGAAAGTTTCATTTTTAGAAAGAGGACACAAAACAGGATTTTGATTCTGAATTTTATTTTTAGCAGGATGCATTACTAATGGAAGATGTCACCATAAGAAGATAATATCCATGTTCCTCACCTGAAATAGAAGCTGGATATGTATTAAAGACATGTCACGATCAAAACTGTCAGACATTATCCACCTTCATGGAGGATAGAAGGATAATAACATTAGGCTTTTGTTATATGCTAGTGACTGGATAATTATACAAGTTTAAGGTACAAATATGAAAAACTATTGGTGTAGATTCTGAATTTAAAATTCTTAAATCAGTTTTAAAGTTGTCAATTTTAATGAATAGGTCTATCGGAATCATCAGTGTTCCAGTTATCTGAGGGGGAAAAGTGAATAAATTGATGGCATTCAATAAATGTTTATTCAAACTTAAAGCTACCAGAATATTTACCATAGATAATGCTTGCTCAATAACTATCATCTAAAGTTCTTTAAGTAGTTGACTTATGACAATTCATTTTATAATCTTTTGAAATTACGATAGTGCTGAAAAAAGTGATCTATGATAAATCCTTGCACTTATCACTGTCACAATGTCACCAGAGTCACTTGATCGTGATTTAGGTGATGGCAACCACCATTTGTTTATGACTGTTGCAGTGTCTTGTGGCATCATATAATTGCCATTTGCAACAGGCTGGCTGCAGAAAAGGTTACAAGTTATGGTCACATGATATCTCACTTAACAACCAAGGTGATTTTCTGACCACAGCAAAAGATTTCAAGATCAGGGGCAGTATTGTGATTCCTCATTTTATGACATACAGATTGAATTTTCTGGTCCCTATTGTAGTCTTAATAGCTTTTTTCTAGGTAGAATTTTGAAGTTAATAAGTATGACTTTTATACATTTGTTTTTAAAAAATCCAATTTTAAACACTTGAAGTTTTAAAAAAAAACCCAACTTGAACTTCTACAAAGCATGCAGATAATCTAGCATTAAATTTCACCTCACAAAAAATGATGAAATATAAAATTTTTGTGGTTTTTAAAAAATAAAAACACAACCATAAATCGCCAAAGGAAACATAAGAATACTACAATTATCAATGGAAGTAGCAGTGATAAGTCATAAAACCCTTCTCTGCACTGAGAGTTTCCAACAGATTAAAACATTACATCAATATTAGAAAGAAAGAGATCTGTTACTGTCAAACTTTATATTAAGTCCCCAAAAATATTTGATAACAAAATAAAACAAAAGCTTCTCTCTCAGTAAATGTATACACTTTACTCTTTAATATGTTAAAAGAATGAAAACCACCTATTATGAGAAAGCTTAAGTATCTTAAAAAAGTATCTTAAACACACCCTATGGAAAAAAGTAAATATAGTAAAGAACGTTAAGTAGGAAAGAAAAGTTGAGGAAAAGAACTACCACAACAAATGACGCACTTCCAATGTTTGTTCTTTCTCTGACAGGATTTCTTTTTGGCATCGTAAAAAATCTGACAACATCCGATTTAGTTGTTTTCTATCATCAATTTCAGCTGCCAACCTGCCATTGTAATCCGCCAGCAACATACATGCATCATCTACCATCTTGGAAAGCTGTTCTCCTGATTCTTTGTCTGCAAAATAAGCAAACATGTACTTAAAATTCAAATACAAATTATCCAATTAAGTCTAATATTCTGACACTATAATTATACTATAATTTGCCTAACCTGTGATTCTGTTAAGCAAAGTTGCATCTTGAACTTCTAGAGGTATTGAGGCTATCCTCTGATGAACTGCTGCATCTCCAGAGGCTGCATTTTCCAATTCTTGTAATGATCTTATCAGATCCATTGTCTAGAAAAAAAGTGTAAGTTTGAAAAGTATCAGATATTATCATATTACAAAATAATACTGGAGCTGAGAAAAATTGCAACAATGTTATTCTTAATTCAACTGAGAATTGAACTAGAGTATTCCTATTCAGGATACCAACCAACTATGTTTTGCTAGGATATTTCATTACATTCTCACTCTATTCCAGTTTCTTTTACCAATCTAGGATTTTCACCAATCCACTGCCATTGTGGTTTCTGTATCTGTGGTGCTTTTTAAAAATACATAAAAACTGACTTTTCAGTTAATTATAAATTTTCCAAGGGTTTTTTTCCCCTTAAACTTTCTGTACCTGAACTAAGCTTGGGATCTATTACTGTTGCCCTTTCTGACAATGTGTAATATAGTTTTGGCAACAGAACTCTAGAGAATGTAGATCAATGTATCTTCTAGCACATATACACACCCACATTAAACTATCATAGTGAATATCTGGACTTAATTTATTATCTGAGTCCTATGATTTGGAGAAAAGAAGGGCAGTTGACAAAGCCTCTGCTTTTACTTGATTTCTGGTTCATATGTGGTTTAAAAGATTCTGAATACAATTAAGTTCTTAATATAGGCGGAAGGCAATTTGAAAAAAATTGCTCTGAATTCTTGTAACTAATAATACAGTACATTCCAGTATTGGCCTAAACTATACTTTCAGGATAACTTCAAACTTAAAAAGGCAGATTTGCCTTCTCCTCTGAAAAACTATTTACTTAGAGGCTTTTAAAATGGCGCCGAGCAGGCTGGTTTCTCCGGTAATAACGAACACTTTTTGCTAATCCTCACAAGAATTCAAAACAAAAGAGATTGCTTATCATATGTTTTGGTTTCACAATAGGCCAGCAGAAGCTTTTTAATTAATTTCATTTTTACAAGAATTTCACTCCTTCATTAATCTTGCTTATCTGGAAGTTAAATGGTGATGAATCTGCTGAACGGTCTTGTTACAATGCTTACTCACTGAAAGTTTTGCCAAGTCTTAAACTTCAAAATAAAAGGGGAACTCAGCCTCTTTACTTAAAGTTGCATATTCA